CAAGAGACTCGATACACCACCTATATGCTCTGTTCGGAGAGGGAACTCTACGAGAAGTGTTGATCTCGCACAGCTATTCTGTCTACTAAGATAGTGAAGAAAGGGAGTGCATGCGGTTGCGGATGACCGGGTTCTCCACGCACCACTCTTACGATTCACAGTCTCCGAGGTATTTGTCTTTGTTGTGACAGCAAATCCTTCTTTTATAACCTGTAGACTTCCGAGGCATCCTGCTTGTTTCAAAGATGTCTCTGCTTCGATGTGGAGTTCGACATATAAAGTCTGGCGTAAAGTATATGAGATGTCACGACTCGAAAGTAGACGAAATGCAGTGTTCATATAGGCCTATGTGGCAACCTAAGGGTATAAAAGACCTGGTCTTGACTCGATAAGCTTGGGTTTTCTCGCAAAACTACCAGGATGAAGACGTGGAATTATAATGGCGTTGTAGATGCTGTTTGGAATTTGTGCCAAACCAGGAATACGTACTTCGTTCAAAAGGCTATAAATCTAAGCATTCAAATTTTTAGGAGTCTCATAAACAAACGACTTAGGTGGAGTTTGCCGCCGAGATGGTTGGCAGACCCAAGCGTAGACATGCAGTTCAAGACTAACGACAAGAAAGGTTGATTTGCTTCAGCCAACTGTCAAGCAGCTCCTAGAGTTATGCCTATGAACATAGTGACCATAGTATCATAAATTCATACCGTTGACCGTTGCTTTTGTTTCGGAGTCAGCTATGGCTAGTTGAAGAGTTGATTAAAGCTGAAGAGATTCGCCAGAGACGTGATAGAGACATCATAGACGCCCGTCTCTAATTCAAACATTGAGACCAGCACACTTCGAACCAAGCTGCCACTAGCCCCAAAAAGTATCCAGTCTTGTATGCTGTTCTCCTACCCGTGTATTCAAAGCTCCTTGATTATTTAGTGAAAGTGTCTGGCTTCCCATCGGCCAAGTTCTGAGGTACACAGCGAAGTCAGCTTCAAGCCTTGGAGACAATTTTGTGCATCGCTGGATTTTGATGACCTTTGCTAGCTGATGTAGCTTTAGATGATTGAGCCAGTCGCGCATGGCGGTTTCGACTCCGTCATTCTCTCGTTCTCTCCACCAAAAAGGATTCTATCGGTGGTTAGTTCATCAATATCTCTAGCTAAACACAGTTGGGTTCTTAGAAGCTCCTGAGGAAAAGGCCCATCTGCCAAAGAGAACATGTAGTAGTCTCTACATCAGACAATTATCATCTTTTGCAATTGTAAGGCTCCCCTAGAAAAGCTAACTGACCTTCTCTTTGAGGAAAGGACTGACCATAATACTTAATGGCGTTGGCGCGGACGCAATGTTATTACGCTATTTGCAAACAAGGTAGAAAATGCCCTAAGAACTTACAGTTACAGGGAAAGTGTGCAGTTGTAAAATAGATAATGATAAATAGGTATTGGCTTTAATGAGGTGTAGGGTTGCATGTGGCATGCAATTATGTGAAGATACCTTGTACTGAGAGATTGGTGTATTATTACATATTCAATGCTTACCAATTACCTATTAAGGAAAGTCAAGATGGCCGAGTGGTCTAAGGCGCTGCATTCAAGACGTTGTCTTAACTAGTYAACTAGGAACATCTGCAGTATCGAAAGATTCTTGGGTTCGAATCCCAATCTTGACATAAACTCAATTTTTAACGTTCCTTTTTTGTCATCTGGTAGACATTATGGGTTATATACAGGCTTACCCCTATCTCCCTGTAAAGAACTGGCATCCAAGTCCGTTGGATAATATGAATTATTGGCTGGCAAATAGTTATGCAAGCAAATGTTGGCTGGAGCCTAGCAGTGGGTCTCTGGAAGCGGGGGTGAGAGCTGGGGGCGCTGTTCCTAAGTGCCGCGAATCTGGGGAAGCGGGGCTTTAGCAGACTTAGTGGGGACGCTTTAGGGTGCTCAAGGGCCCTCTGCATGCTAGCGCCAGTGATTAATGGACGGCACGCGACATGTAAGAGTGCAATGAATTGCTGCAAGTTGTAGGGGGGCAGGGGGTACAGAGAGTTTGAAATCCATAACAGAAGTACTTGCGAGGAATGTCACCAACGAGTCATCCTGCATAGACGAGCAAAGGAGCGGGCGGCCAAATACATCGTTCCCCTGTCTGGCTCCTGCATCTGCCCTCTGTTTTCAGTAACTGTGCCGCACATTGTTGTTTTTGGTGTATGAGGTACCGCAGGTGGAAGTCTATTGAAATTGAGACGACAAAGCTGCGTGTTGCTATGCACTTCATGCCTGTGATGCACTGAACATGAGATTCTTGTCCCTCTCGATCAATCCTACTTGAATACTGGGCTGACACTTGCATTTTATGCAACACACGAAACGAAGCAGGGTCGCATTTGTTGATTTCACTGCGTAGAAAACATGCCACTTCCTGCTTGCGTTTACTGGCGGGGCTATGGAGTTTCAGTCGCCCAGTGTCGGCTCCAGCTTCTTTGATTCAATTTCATTTGAATTGCCTCCCTGCAAAACCACGTAGTCACATTTCCCTGTATGCTACTACTACGTGATCATTGCGCTGGGTCAAGAAGCGCAATCTTCACAGCGAGGTACTATATTTGACCATTTTTGAAGTTTGATCGAAAACCGATACTTTCCAGATGAATTTCGAGAATTGCTTCGCTGCCGTCTCTCTCAATCCGGGATGACACTGCACATCTTTGCTACCCAAGACAACCAAACCAACAAGCCACCATCTCCCTTGGAACGGCTGAATCTCGACTCGAAGCGGCCATCCGGCACCACGACCTCAATCTCCTGGATCGCCCCCTGCTCTTCCCCGCGTCTAGCGACAATGACCTCTGAGGCGTTCAATGGCGTGGCAACCTTCACATGGGAGTTTCCCCCTTGTCGCACGTATCTCCCCGCCCAAGTTGCCCTGACCTGCGCCTCGCGACAGGTACTTGACTGTTTTCAGAACCTCCTTGACCAACCGTGAGCAACGAGCTATCAAGTCACGAGGGTCGAGGCTCGACGTAATGGAGGGCATGGGCCTAAGGAGCGGCGAATCATCATCTGTCTCGGCCTGCATGAGAGTTTGAGGTTGGGGGGAGATTGCAAGCCATCCGCATTCAAGTGTAACCTTGTCGGTCAGCACAGTATTTGTCTTACTATGTACCGCCACTTACAGCAATTTATGCTTACACCGACAAGTATCGCCCCGTCGGTTCTCAGACCCTCACCATGATCGTTTGCTTGTACTCGTCTGCATGTCGCTGTCTCCCTACCGTGCAGGTTGATCATCCAAGCGCTGTTACCCCGCTCGATCTTGTATACAAGCAGTCATTCAGTCATGGTTGCACGTATATAATAGAGTCAGCAGCCGTTTCCTGCTTGTTTCTATTTTCTGTCTTCTTCATCCCAATCGATTAAATTCTACAAACACCCATTGTTTTCCAACTTTACTGATATCGCCTCCACATCCTCCCGGCAACTCTAACACTTTTTTTCACACTCGTCTTACGAAACCATCAAATCCGGTCGAACACGTCGATTGGATCAACCAGCAGTTAGTAACCCCCCCAAAGTATCACCAAGCTCTACCTGACACTCAGTGCTAGACATCTAAACTCCCTCCACCACAGATACACAACATGCCTGTCCGCGTTCCCAAGCTCCCCGCCGCCAAGCCCTCGGAGATCTTCTGCATGGGTGCGGCCGGCGTTGGCGTCTTGACACCTCTCTATCTTGTCATGCCTGGGGCTGAGGAGCGTTTATCCAACCAGACCAACAAGTGGGCTCCACGATGGGAGAGGAACGTCAGCTACTTCATTCCTCCCATGGAGAAGGGCGTCCAACGCATTGAGCCTCCTGTGTCCAGAATCGTTCAACGTGTTGAGGACCGTCTTCCCCTCGAAAAGATGGCCAAGTCAGTCGACAAGGGTATCCGAAGTGGTATTGCTCGTTTCAATGGCGAGAACAAGCCTTAAGAACATATTTTCATCTGTCTGCGACCAGCCTTTACCGCGCGGGTCTTTCCTTTGTACATTATCATTAGCATACCCCGGGTAGATGTCACGTCGTTCACGAAAGCCCATTCATGAATCACATGGTCTTATCTTCACGTGTACTCTTTTAAACTCACGGTGACTTGTGCCTTGGTGATGATACCGCACGTGGCTCACGATGCGTGAAGTTCACTTAGGTCTCGATCATCTTCCGCGTGCTTTTGATCTCATTGTCATTGGCATTGGTTCCAATCTCCAACCTTGAGACTGCCCTCATGTAGCATTTCATCTTTTACCATGCCAAGATTTAATACCGCAACTATAGCAACTCCTCGCGCCTGGATTGCTGTCTTCGTCCTTTTCACGATCAATTGACCGCTGCCTCCATCCGCCTGGTGCCGTATGTAGGTAGACCCAGCTGACACTCTGCATGCAGACTTTAACTGACGACCACCATCACGTCGGTTCCTCGTACCATATACTACTACTTGATGACAAAACAAGGCCCGAGAGAGATCATCAAAATACACATCAGATCATGGCGACGCGATACGACGGTACCTGCCCATATCATGTCAATTGTTTTGATAATGACATGGCTTCACGGGTCGACATCCCCGGTACCCTTACGCCACGTTCATTATGTATCAGTCTCCGGACTCTGTATCTCCTGTTAAAAACATGTCTGCATGAGACACTGCACGGCCCCTATGTAATGTTCATGAGGCTCAAAGCATGTCGTGATGAGTGGAACCTTGGTGCGACACATCCTGGCTCGATAGCTTCAATCTAACAATCGACCCCAGCCGAGCCTTTGTGGATACCTGGTCCACGAACAGTACTATCAAAAGTGTCATGGGCCGACACCTTTTCCGAGATATCGTGGCCGCAGCGCTAAAAGACGAAGTCAAGTGGTGAGATAAGGCTATCTTGCTTTCACTTTCTCTCGCTAGTGACACCGCCTTCTGCGAGTCAAGACACTTGTATTCAACACCACATCAACTTCATCAGAATGACCGTCTTGCTTCGTGGGTCCGCCTTCATCACAGGCGCAGCCTCCGGTACGTCCCGCTATTTGCCTCATTACAAACTATCGCCCCGCATTTCACTATGCGCCGTGGCGTGGCGTGGCGTGACCGAGACAGACTCGAAGCTACCCGCTTAGTGTCTTGTTAGAGTCTCCATTGCTGATATGATCGTCATTAGGCATTGGACAACAGATCGCCATCGCCTTTGCTCAGCATGGAGTCACAAAGCTAGCATTGGCCGACATCAACCAAGACGCACTAGATATGTCCGCCGGATCTTTGAAGAAACAGTTTCCCCATGTCCATATTCTACCGGTGCATCTCAATGTTCGTGACTCCACGCAGGTCAAGGAAGGTATTGCCAAGACGATCGGCGAGTTTGGTCGTCTAGACATTGCTGTGAACAATGCCGGTATCAGCGGCAGTGGACGAAAGACGCATGAGTTGGAAGACGATGAATGGCTCGGAATTCTCGATGTGAATTTGCAGGGTGTGTATCGATGTCAGAAAGAAGAGCTGGATGTCATGATAGACCAAGAGTACGTCCAACAGGGTATGATGAATCGAAATGAGTGAAGGGCTAAATCCTCTCATAGAGATTTGGGACCTCGGGTTGGCCGCGGAAGAATAATCAACGTGGGAAGCATGTTTGCTGTTGTGGCCCCAAACAACCAGGACCATACTGCGTATACAACTGCCAAGCATGGTACGTTATGCAATATCTCTGCCGACCACAGTCCGTTCAAGCACTGATAGACCGCTAGGCATAATTGGCTTGACCAAGGCTGACGCAAACTCGTACGGGCCTTTAGGCATCCGTATCAATGCCATCTGCCCAGGTTATGTCGAGACACCTCTACTAACGAGTATTATGAGTCGTGATCCAGACTCACCACTCGCAGTGGACTTGTCACGAACTCCTTTGAAGCGCCTCGCCACTATGGAGGAGATAGCAGATGCTATAGTCCTGTTGGCTTCTCCCATGAATAGTTACATGCAAGGTGCCAGTATGATATGTGATGGGGGTTTTACCAGTAACTAGACCCCCCTAGCCTGGTAGTCGCTAGACCAAGATCTAGGTACAACAGATACCCGCTAATCTGGTATTGAATTATCTGAATCATACGTGCATATCAATGTGGACTCTAAACAACTATTTTGTTCAAGTCATGATTAGCTATGTTTACCGCACTAATGATGATCTCCTTTGACCTCTTTGATATCAAAGCAACACATGCTGTAGCCTGTCTTTGCCCATAAAGTCCTATCAAATTTTCTGTTTTACATCTCGATATCGTGCTCTGGCTGCTTGGATAAAGGAAGCAGGTGAAGGAATTCTGGAAATGCTTCGCTGATTTGGCAAAAGCCTAGACTAAGCGTTTTCATTTAGACGGATGCAGAAGTGTTCTCATGACACATAGCTTTAATGTACAATTTCATAGAGACACAGACTTGTTCATATACCATAAAAATAAAAATAGCAAAATCAACTTTGCATATCCAAAATAGCACAACAGAACAACCCAGGCATGAACGTCCTTGAACACCTTGCAGAAGAGACAGTAACGCAGCAATATCACCTAACCAAAATTAAAAAAGTCAAGAGAGTAATTTCTCTGCTCATCGTTGTTCCCGTCATTCAGACGTGTCGTCTTGCCCAGATTTGGGCCGTATTCCTGCATCCTTCCTGAACCTACAGGCCCGACGTTGGTACTCGTCCAGTTTGTACCGATATGAGGGAGCTTACTGGATGAAGATTCATGCATACCACCCTCACCACCCCCAAACTTTGGGGGCTCCTTCGCCGAGCTGAAAGCAGCCATTCCTGACATGATACCAGTCGACATTGCGGCACTCTGATTCAATACCGAACTGGCACTGAGACCAGCAGTTCCGGCAGACCAGTCTATGGCCCCATGAAATTGACCTTGTGGGAAAGAAGGCTGCATGTTAGGTAGGCCCCAATTGTCATGTAACGGGTGGTTACTGAGGTTCGTAGCATTGAGTGTGCCGACCATGTGGCCTGTAGCAAGTTCGGGATGATGCATATTGACCGCGTTCGCCGCCACCATCGCCAGGCCAAGTTGTTCTGGCTGGCTGTGCAAATTTATGGGGAAAACGGTTGGGTCAAGCGGTGATTGGCTTTGTTGACCATACGGCAGAGATAGAGGTGGTCCCGGTTGCGATGTTATACCGATGTATGATGGCTTCGATGAGGCATAGTCAGAGGTTTGTCGATGAACAGAAGGACGCCTTTTCTTAAGAGGTTGATTGAAGTCAGTATCGGCTTCTCGCCTGACAGGAACAACAGGAACTGATGTATTGCCGTCATAAGAGGCGCCGCTCCTCGCACTACTGGCACCAATACTGATGGCCTGATGTCCTGCGCTGCCGCTGCGCGACCGTGAAACGTCAGTCATGCTGCTACGAATCTGCTCAAGTACAGCCTTGAGCAAGTCATCCATCCTACTGGCCGGATGGTATGTAGCGCTCATGTCGCCAACAGCATCAGATAGAATTTCAAGATAGCCGATATATGTCTGGCGATTTGTCTCATTGCGCTGGTAGGCAAGTGCAGCAATCAAAGCTATTGATGCAGTACCAGCATGCTGCATTCCGGTAATAAAAATCTTTCGTCCGTCAAATCTTTGACGATGCTGCCAGAATATTCGAGCCACGCGAATCGCTTGCTGAGTACATATACTGCGGGCCAGCGATGTGCGGCTCCCATGGACCACGCGCTGACGGTCATCGGTAGACATCGACGAACCCTCAGCAGTGAAGTGATGCCCGGGGCTTTCTGAATTTGCCTTTCTGTCGCTTTCAGGACTTGGATGCGATCCCGTGCTCGAACTGTCGCCAGAAATTGAGCCATATTTGGCCCATGGTCGATGCAGTAAAATCATAGTTACATGATATTGTTGATGTAATAGGAAGAAACTGTAAGGAGCTGTCTTGACATTGCTCGGCTTCCATGCCAAGCGGTCGGGCAATCGCCTATACCAATTTTGAAGTTGCCTGTCGAGATTAATGACCTGTAGATATCTGTTTTCCTCGGCTTCATTGATTGCGAATGCGCCAGTTGGTTCTGTCACTTTAATGGAGTTGCTCAGATCACGTATTTCGACAATTCGTCCGGCCAATTCCATCAACTCAATGAGCTGCTCGTAAATTTCAGTTGTCAAATCCATTTTGGGAGCATCGAGCCCGAAAGAAGCAAGCTGGGAAAATCGATTTGATAAAAGGTCGACGTCTTGGCTTTTGATAGCCAACGGTCTACCCAGAAACAACCCCCAATATCTGTCATAGATCACACATGCCTGCATGACCATATTTCGAATTTTTGTGTCTTGTTCAGACATGCTGCTGGTGCAATCTAAGTGGAGGCCAATATCAAAAGCAAGGCGATTTGCCATCCCTAGACACAGTTAGCCTGAAGAGAATTAAAAAAACACAGACATTACTCAAAGCTCACCAGAGTACATCCAGCCGGTATTGTCTCTACCGACACCGCATTCAAGATCTCCAAGCAACAATAACGCCTGAACACTGGGGATACCACCAGGGCGCTCGAGCTCGATATCAAGCATATGCTTGGCTTCTCTATGAAGAGAACTTTCTCGTGGACTCAGTGTAATCTTGCGCATATCATCTCGGTCCATGTCGGCCACACGATACCCCATGGCCAAGACTGTGACGTGAAGAAAATGAGAGTAAAACTTTGAAGACTTGGATATCCGGTCAGCTTCGAAAGCATCTCGATCAATAATTTGAATGACAGAATTATAGTAGTGGAAGAAGCCATCTACAAGATAGTCGTGTGTCTCCGAGCTCAGAGATTGAATGATCTTCTCTGCTCTTCGGATTTGTTCCGGCGGTTCATGCGTGTATGATAGACTTGTTGATTCAGCATAAACATGGCTGTTGGCTGTGGGACCAAAGAAACGCAGCCTTCCAGAGATTTGGTCGAATGACAGGTTGCCCTTGGTTGATAAAAGTCGATGGATTATATCCTCTTGCTTGGGATCCAGAATGCGAAATGGCGAAGTTTCATTGGAGCGAGAGTACACTTGCTGGTTATCGCGCGAATTCGTCGTCGCAACTTCACTCTCACGTGTCGTGAAATCGTCGTTCTGATAGTCCGTTGGAGAATGGTCCTCACTCCCCGGAGACTTGGAGTCAGATTGCGGAGATGGGTCAATATTGCCCGCTGTAGTGGCTACGGCGTCTTGATCGTGCCTTGTTTTGGGAGGATGAGTCGCCGGAGGCGGCACCACACCCTTTTCCAAAAGCAAGCCTTCAAGCATTGATATTCTGTCCGATAAAGAGGACATGTATGCTTTAGATATAGGGCTTGGAAAATTCATTAGCCGTGGCTCATGATGGGGCTGAAAGACATGAGCTCATACCGTCTACGCTCGTCATCATTTTTAATGATGCACTCTGAGCCTGACTTTGCACAAGCGGTACATTCAGTCTGATTATTGGGAACCACGCATCGTATTCTTCTGTCGCGGCATGACGCACAGGCGACAGACGCACGGTGTCTTACTTGTTGCTTGCTTGTGTTGCGGCCGGGTTTGGTTTTGGCAGAGGCATTCTTGCTGCTCGGATCCAGATTCAGGGCATCTTTTGCATTAGCAGAAAGAGCCATGACGGCCTGCGCGCAGCAGAAGACAGCTAGTCCCGGAGCGGGCTCACTGTTTATTAGCCGGACGGGTCCCGGTCACCGAAACTGGACTGAGAATTGTCTGGGGAGAGGTTGATAAAGAGAAGAGTTTGGTTAGGAAGCGGAGTCGCAAAATGGGAGCTGGAACTTGGGCCTTAGCCTGAGGCTGGAGCTTGGACCTTTCCCCACGTTGTGAAATAGAGCTAGCTATCTCCTTAACCTCTTAAAGGTTAGTAGGGATTATAAGACCAGCTTTATAAGGGATTTTAAAGAAGTTAAATATAAAACAAGTTAATAATACTTTTATTAATTAAAAGATTAATTAATAAAAATAAAAATATATTTTTTTTAATATATAAAAAACTTTTAAAATATTATTATATAATTATAATTTAATAATAATTAATAAATA